GCTTTGGCTGAGGACCCGAGTCGTTCTCCTGTCAGGTGTTGGCGCCTTGCAAGCATCCTAGTCCATCCTCTTCGGAGGTTAGGAAGTGGTCGATGGCCCTCTTTCCATAAAACCTAGCCATGGGAGACAACTGGTCTACGGGTTATAAGCTCACAGCTCGATTGGCGTAGACCACGAACGTCACGCATTGTCTCTGACGGTGCGAGAACACCTCCGGGTGTTCAATGGTTTGCTACTGCCCGCCTCAAGCCAGGCACCCGCTGGTCAAATTGGTGCAAACCCGCCAAAACCCAAATGCGTCTGGCCGTGGTCGCAGGTGTATCCTACTAAGGTCGTAAAACATATATAAACCGTTCCAGTACCCCTAAGGCTGCTTGTGACGGCCGTAAAGCAGATCTTAATCTGCCTCTGTAATCACATTCCCGAGCTTCATCTGCTCCCCACTGCCTTGTGGGTCAGGCTATTGAGCCAAAGGCTCGGGCGGAGTCCCTCAAGCAAACCTCCAAATCACCCACTGCCTTGTGGGTCAGGCTGTTGAGCCAAAGGCTCCGGGCGGAGTCCCTCAAGCAAACCTCTGAAGCACAACGACCACCTCGCGTGCGATTGCCCCCAACGTAATCGTATGCCTGCACCTAAAGCACTCAGCATCGGGTGCTGGAACGTGCGCACACTACTGGACCGGAACTCCAGCGAGCGCCCGGAGCGACGCACTGCACTCGTCGCGATGGAAGTGGCGCGCTACCACATCGATATTGCGGCGCTCAGTGAAACCCGGCTCGCTGAGCAAGGTAAGTTGCATGAACCAGGTGCTGGCTACACATTCTACTGGGTGGGTAACGCCGCCTCAGCACCACGTGATCATGGGGTCGGATTTGCAATATCCGATCGCCTCCATGGCCAGCTGGTGGGTGATCCAACGGGCATCAGCGCGCGACTGATGACTGTTCGCCTACGACTCGGAAGAGGTAAGTTTGCCACTTTTATAAGCACGTACGGTCCGACCATGTGTTATCCTGATGACACGCGTGATCAATGCCATACTCAGCTATTCTCCGTGATACGGTCTGTGCCGAGGAGCGACCGACTATTTCTGCTGGGTGATTTCAACGCGCGCGTTGGGCGTGATGCATCGGTGTGGACAGATGTTATCGGTTCGCATGGCATTGGTTCAGCGAATGCGAACAGTGACAGTCTGCTCTCACTGTGTGCCACTCACGGCCTGACGATCACGAAGACTCGGTTTGCACTGAGTGCGAGTGATATAGCAACTTGGACGCACCCACGGAGTGGTCACACTCACCTGCTCGACTATGTCATCGTACGTCAGCGTGATATGCCTGAGGTGTGCATGACACGTGTTCTGCGTGGAGCTGAGTGTGGCACTGATTCCAAATTGGTGCGGACCAAACTGTACAGATATTTTCGTAAATCCATGTATTGCACTCCCGCCGTGAATCGGCGTAAATTTAACATTCTTTCCCTTGGTACTGAGGCTGCACGCCTGTGTGATGTGGAAGGCATAGCCACAGTGGGCGACCTGTGGCACCACATTCGCGACCAGGTGACAGCTGCTGCCGAACAGACCATCGGGCGCGCAAACTATAAGCGGCCTGATTGGTTTGATGAGAACCATACGACGATTAGCGCATTGGTGTCGGAGAAGAATGCAGCATTTGCTGCATATGTGGCAGACCCCAGTGACTTGGGAAAGAGTAGTCAGTTTCGCAAACTTCGACGGCGACTGACCCGCGAGCTCCGTCGCATAAAAATGCATGGTGGACGGAGAAGACGAGTCAGATGGAATACTACGCCGAACGCCGCCAAAACAAGGAATTCTTTGACTCCTTACAAGTGGTGTATAGACCGAGATTGGAGCCGCTGAGGACGCTGATCGATGGTAGTTCAGGCGCTACCTGCACACAGACTGCAGACATAATGCAGATCTGGCGAAAACACTGTGACTGTCTCTTGACAAATTCGTTCAGGGATCGACTGGCCTACATTGAACGGCCTGAAGCAGCACGATGTGAAGGCGAATCTGGCGGACACGCCGACACTGGATGAGACGCAGAGATCACTTGCTCAGCTGCGAAACGACAAGTGTGTTGGGGCCGGAGGAATCCCGCCTGAAGTATAGAAACACGGTGGACTCGCGTTGGTGACTGCGTTGCACCACTTGGTGCAACGTGTATGGATTGAGGAGGAGGTACCACCTGAGCTGAAGGATGCCCTTGTGCTACCACTGTACAAGGGCAAAGGGAGCAAGCAATGTTGCACGAATTATCGTGGCATCAACTTGCTGAGTTGTGGGGGCAAGGTGATTGCCCGAATCCTGCTCAACCGCCTTGTCAGTCAGGTTGTGGAACCGAACGTGGCGGAAGAGCAATGTGGATTCCGTTCGGGTCGCAGCACTATAGATATGGTGTTTGCGGCTCGTCAGTTGCAGGAGAAGTGTAGAAGAACGACACCAGCCATTGTACTCGCTTTCTGTTGATTTCACCAAGGCATTTGATACGGTGAACCACGAGGCATTGTGGCTGGTGTTGGGTAAGTTTTGTTGTCTGCGTAAGTTTGTAAGTTTAATTGAATGTCTGCCCATTGGTATGCGGGCGAAGGTGCAGCTGAGTGGACAGGCCTGCGACGACTTTACAGTCGTCACTGGTGTGAAGCAAGGCTGTGTCCTAACTTCTACCCTGTGAGTAGTTAGGTGACAATCTTTGATTATTATTTTGTTTAGTCTGGTGATACACTTTGATTCCATTGATTATTTCCTCTCATCCTAACGGTACTCAGGAGTTGAGACGAAATGTGCCACTCTACCGGTGTTGGTCTTCTTTTTGTGTTATTCAAATAATATTTAGCTTTATGCAATAAGGTCTTGTGCTTTTGATGCCGCTTGTACTTTCGGTGTTCGTGTGGAGCACCGTATTGATGGTGGGTTGCTGAACATCCGTCCTTTCGGTGTGAGAACTCTAGTATGTGAGACACCTATCCGTGTGTTGCTGTTTGCTGACGACTGTGCGTTGTTTTCACACAGCGCGGATGAGTTGCAGCACATGACTAGTGCTCTAGCTTCGACAACGGCAAAATTCGGGCTCACCATCAACACAAGCGAAACTGTCTGTCTCTTTCAGCCTTTCACCGGAGGTGCAATCTTCAACATTGCCGCGAATGAGCATGGGTGCTGAAGTATTGGAAACCACCTCGCGCTTCTGCTACCTTGGCAGTGTGATGTCGACTGATCAGCCGCTACACACTGAGCTGCGTAATCGCGTGTCGAAGGCGGCAGCGGCATTCAAGAAGCTTGAGTACCGAGTGTGGAATTACCATCAGCTTACCATTGGCACGAAGCTGATGGTGTACAAATCCATGGTGCTGTCCGTTCTTCTATACGGCAGTGAAACGTGGACGATGTAAAGTCGGGATGTGCGATATCTCGAGCGGTTCCATCAACAGTGCTTACGACGGATTTTGCGCATCGGTTGGGGCGACAGAGCTGCAGACACGGAAGTGTTGCGCCGAAGTGGAATGTATGCAGTGGACTGCATACTTTTACTGAGACATCTGAGGTGGCTCGGTCATTTGAGTCGTATGGATTCAACGCGGATACCGAAACAACTTGTATGGTGAGCTGAGTATTGGGAAGCGGCATGCGGGGAAACCAAAGTTACGTTACCAGGACATGATCAAAGTGAGTTTCTTACGTTCTAATCTTGATGGTAGATCATGGGAATCGAAGGGGGTTAATCGGCGTGCATGGCGTGTTCTAATCATGAAGGCAGTTGCCGAAGTGCGGGAGATAGCCCTCATGCATGCAGAGAAGAAGCGGCAAGTGCGGAAGCGGCATGCGCCGATGGGTTTTTCTCTATCGACATCAAGCGCATGGTGCTGTAGCACATGCGGTCGCGAGTGCCAGAGTCAGGCAGGCCTAGTGAGCCACTACCGAAGCGACGACGGGTCTTGCAATGAACGTAGGCATAACCGGCGCAGCGTTTATAGGTACGTTGCATTCGATTTACTAACCGCGTGCTTGCATGCTCAGTCTATTTCAGGTGATGGGTTTTCAATTTTCTCCTGATGCTTTTCTTCCTCATTTAAATGTCTCCCTATACTCTATTCCACTAACTTGCACATCTCACGTGAGCCATTTGTAGTCGATTCCCATAGCGTGTTTGTGGCATTTCCGTAAATTATACTTTCTGACCTCGTGTACTTATCTCTGATTCGTTTGGAAACAACTTATTTCATATGCTCAGTGTTTTAAGACTTAAGTCACGTTTCCTTATGCATTACTCCATTTATTTTCTTGGTTATCTTTCTCTCAAATGATTGGCTGTTGCTTGATATCCCCGGTGTGGCTGCGCTTGATGTGCATGTTGACAAGGTGCCTACCTGTCTATTACCCACTACCTCGTCCATACTGTCTCTAGGAGATAGTTGGTCGTTGCTGAAGGGGACGGGGTGCACGGTCCTTGTGGTAGTGCTAGGCTCGAAGAGTGGTTCAATGCACTCGGTGTGGGGCGGATTAAGGTCCAGCGACCGCCTTGTGTGCGCTTGATTTCCCAAATACAGCGTGCTTGTGTTTGCCTGTGAAGGAGTGTGGGCCGGCTCTGTTGATGAAACATGGCTCCCATCCACATGCCTCCCGGTCTTATTCCTTCGGGTTTACACTGGATATGGGGTGTGTGGATGGAGTAGCGCAAGGCAGCCTTGGTCGGTCTGTAGGCGCAGGCGTTCTGTGGCTGTCCACAGTGACAGGGAAATCGGAATCCAGATGCCGCCGAACATATATATACATATGTACATATATATATATGTACATATATATATATATTTGTATTTATATATATTTATATATAAACATTTTACTGATAGTACTTCAATTAACTGGTTGCCGCGGTGCCTGGTGAACGAAAACAGCTGTACGTCACAAATGAATTAAGTGCAATCTGACAGCATGCATGCAAGTGCCCGCAACTTCTCGCGATGCTTGCGACCGTTTCCATGGAGACCGGTTGGTTTGCTTCTTCTTCCTGCGTGCTGAGGATAGCTTTCCCCTGGATCAGCTGAAAGAAAGCGCTAGGTAAGCACAGAACTCGGGCTTTATTGACAGATTTTTATGTCCTTAGTGCTCTACACTTAATGTATTCTGGCTAGTGTGCGTTGGATAACATTTGGATTGTTTCGTTTATCTGAATATGTGATGAAAGACTGTTCAGCACTTTACTTACAGAATTTCCGTCTTTCCCAAACCGGAAACTTAACTGGCAGGGCATTAAAATACGCCTCCTATCTGTATGACATGATCGCGATCCACCTTTCAAATATAGGGTGAGGTAGTGGTTTGGGTTTTTTGCTGACATCCCATCGCGAGCTAGTTCGATATATAGCCCTTCTTGTGTTATATATATATATATAGTGTAGTATAGTATATAGTATATATATACATATACTAATTCATCATCCAAACCGTTCAACGCATGGATCCTAGTCTTGCACTTCCTCTACAAATGAAGCGTTGAAGTTTTTTGATGACTGATTAGTGACTGCATTGTAAGAAATTATTCATCGTTTTCTGTTCGGATCATCATCAATTTTGTATGACACTTTTCTACCATTGAAAATCTCCCCTCCAAACTTACTGAATTCCCCCAGTTTTGTTGTTAACTTGATTACAGTATCCCCTATTGATTTATGCTGTTTGCAATCTTTACAAAATGGCTGACTAGATCGCTACTTCGTTTTCAGAAGTCTCACGCATGGTCTCACACGAAGTTATTCATGGTAGGCGCAAGAGGGCTCCGTTCACCAGAGCCGAAAGTATGGCTATTCGGGATTATATTGTGAAGTATAATCTTCAACAGTGAGTTTTCTTTGCATCCCTCTGGCTTTCACTTTATTGTTCACAATTCCGGCGCAAATTCCGACGGATATCACAGGGTCTGTGCGCACAGCTCAATAGGCTAATGATGAGTGTTAGCCAACCCTCGACCCATAGAGCAGAGGTATCGAGCTTGACTTGTAATCTTGCGACGCAGGTTTCGAGCCTGCGTAGGGGCAGGGCGACCCTCGCAGTATCGTTAACGCACGTGCGACCGGTGGTGGTTTCGCGGCAGCGAAGCGTCGATGCTGCGTACCGGCGTAATGCTGATGCCTTTACAAAAGAGTCCAGTACAAGACGAATCCATTCTTGACGTGTTCCTCACTGCCGTAATGAATTCATCGATCAAACTGATCGAGGTTTGTTACATTCATGGTTACATTTGCATGTCGCGTTTCAATCGCTTATCATGTGCTCCAAATTCACGTTCACCCTTTACCTTATCTTAACCAAGTTGCGTATCTTTTCGTGTTTCCACCAAGAGAGGAATTCATATTCGGCCACAGCATCATGAGTTAGATTTCATGTTACAAGTTATTGGCATGCTGACCAGGATCATTTGTGGTCGACTCGGTACTTTGGCATGCGGTTTATCTCGGTCACTGAACTACCTCTGTTGTAATTTTCGAAACTGAGGTCACTTCCTTTTCTTTGGAATCCATCCGAGCGTCCTAAAAATGGCTTACCTATCTTTAGTACGCATAGTGTCTTGGTAATCCATCACTTGCACGTCAACGTTTTGCGGTTAGAAATAACCTCTGGATAGATTGACATTGCGCTGTACTTTTTCGTAAGCAATTTATTCTCCCAAATTACCAGGTTCTACTCTAGTATTAGATTAACATGCAGCCTACTTTCGCCATCTCCATGCAGCTACTTTCTCACTTTTACGGCCAAAGCAGGGAAGCAATGACTACATGAATCGATTTTACTCACGTGACCTCCAACACTTGATTCACCTATGGAAGTGGCGTGATAGCAGCTTGTCCGCTACGTATGTAATGTATAATGCCACATGACTACTGTTATTGTAGGGATGAGAAAAATTACCAAGAATTTCTCAGCCTACAACGAAATGTACATTTTTTTACCATGTTTTCTTCATCGCGGATACGCGCATCTAATTGGGGAGCATCATAAGCAACTTCGTCCGGGTTCATTTATTACAGAGTCTAATCAGTAGTTGATTGCTGACACTCGGAAAACAGGTTAGTTTCTCTCGATATTTGTCTTCTAGTGCTGAGTGAATTAGCTTTGTTATGCGCTGAACAGGATCGTCGCTTACTCCGAACAAGCATCACTACAATTGAAACCCGTTTCTCTCTTTCTACATGCTTAGGAGGATGCATCTGGCCATGTGACGTTATTAAAGATGAATGTTGTCTTTCGTGTTTTTCTTCGAGGTGAACTGCGTTTGCTTTGTACCGAACCTCATGCTTCTTAAACTTTGCAGCCTGAGCTTTCACGGCAGTCACCGTCTTGCTTATTTTCAACAGGTTAAAGAACACTACTGTTCATTAGCACTTAGTTATCAACAGTGATGTCTTCACGCCTACCTACCAGTTGAAAACGTTGTCGCCTTGTTCACCGAGTGCGAGCTTTTGACGCTAGCTGACCATGGGCACATGAGGCTTACATGCGTCTCTTTTCGGATAGCCTGTTCAGATATCGTGAGAACTTTTAGACATTGACCTCTCGGAATATTCATTTCCTTTCCTTATAACAAACATAGCGGTGCCGCACCATCAGATGGATTCGTTATATGCGGTCCCTTGATCTATACCTGCGGAACATGCGACTCAGCCCAAAGTGATGCCGCTCGTCCCATGCTGCTTTCCATACCTGACGTTAAAATGCTAACTCGTCAAATACTGAGGTCTGCACTTACAGTGAATTGGCTATTTATCAAAACATATAACTGTGTTGATTAACGGGTCTTACTATATTTTGTGTGATTTGCAGCATTCTGTCATACGGTCAAAGCGTTTCACAATCCTTCCGAGCCCAGCCATTTGCTAAGCCGGTTCCCGAGAGAATACAACGCCTGCCTTCTGACCGTTTCGACTCTGAGTAGGTGCGAATGACCTCGGAGTATCTCCAGCCCGCGCGCGACTGGTGGTAGTCACGTGGAAGCAATGCGTCAACCTGGCGTGCCTGCTCACTTTTCCTTATTTTATAGGTACCTATCCTGGCCGTTTACCTCTCGTTAACTTTCGCACTACTCCTTACTGATCAGTAGTCTAGTAAATAATGAATTCACTTTATGCGTTTTCTCAGCACAGGCCCACTGGATGGGTTATTCCATTCAGTGGCACCCATTACATGAGGGTTGGGACACGGTTTCAACGGCGAACGCGTTCCACGCCTACCTGCATTTCAGACCGATTCGATCACGTGGACCGCATCTGGAACAGATGAATGCTTGGTGTTGCGCTCGCAACCCACCGCACTCTACGACCAGTTTCGTCCTTGTTTGCACTCATTAGGAAGACATAGCAGAACTTTGACTCGCATTTTGGTCCTTTGGAATGTCGGCGGAATCCTATACCCCTAAGCCACTGCGTCGCGGCTAGCCACATTTGTCACAACGATTAATAACTCATTAGAAAGGTCATCCTGAAAAATTACCTACCACAAGCGATTAATACTAAACAGAGATAACGTCACTGATCACATTTTCGAATTAGTTCTTACATGATTTCCGACCAACGATGGTTTCCGCCTTTTCTATACCGTGCCAAAACAATACCTAAAGGGGTTTAGGAAAAGCCTTCTAAAGAAAGTCGAAGCGATTGCGAATAAGTTAATCCGACCGAAGGTTTGTAAGCAGAGTATGCTGCTGCCATCTCTCACTTTGCTCTAGCCATATCGAAAATCCATCCCCATGCGACACTGATGATGACCGAGTGTGTTTTCAACTCTCGATTGAGTCATGTTTCATGAAGAAATCAGCGTACTGTCAGTCCCCCACCACCTGATCTTATCGATCTGGCTTCTGTTCGAATAGTGCGAGCCAGTTCAGTCCCTTTCACTTCAGTATTCATTAGCTTTTACATTTCTCCATCAACTTTGTAGTCGTATTTGTTTGATGTGATTTGCGAAAAAAGTGATCTCTTTGCAACTGCGTCTTCTAAGTTCAGTAAACTTTTCGGACCCATTTCCCAGCAGTTGCTTTCTCAATATCGTTTGATAAGAGAAGTAGATACACGTTCAGAAAAGGGGTCAAAGGTTGTCGCGACGAAACTGAGCTTTTACGTAATGCGATTTTTTGCGTACTAGCTATGCACTTGATGACACTGGGCAGTGATTACCTGTCAGACGTATTCATACCAAAGATCATCGTCATCATTATACACATTCGCTAGAAGTGGAAAACATCTCAGCTACTGTTTTACAATACATGAAAGCAAAAATAGAAAAGAACATGCATGCCAGCTGAGCTACCAGTAACGGATGGGCATGGTTCCGGGAAGCTGTTAGCCGGCTACTATGCAGCAAAGAAAATTTATTATGCAAGTTTACATTGTGCTGAGAAATAAAATAGTCATACCAAAGAGGTTAGATGTCACACAAACTGGCATTTAATGTCCCCCTCATCGAGAGATTAGGAGAGGCTAATAATAATAAAAAGTAGCAGGAAGCATTAGTACATGGATTCTGAGCTCATCTGGATTCGGGGTAGATGACTGGCACCAACATTTGTTGGTGCTTCTTCTGCTCATATAGGTCTTCGAAATTCGAGTAGAGCTTCCTTTGGAACCACTTTTACCGCGTAGACTCAAACTGCGCAGGCAACGGCCGAGCGCCCCTCATTGAAACCGCCATGACCTGTCAACACAAACGACACGAATTTTACCTAAGCCCTCGTCAGTGATGCTGCTCCACTGACCCAACTGAGCTCTCCCAGTGACACTGCTGTATCTACCGTCTCAAGCCGCAATAATCACGTAAATTTTCCTCAGGACACTGCCACTACGTGGTAACTCATGTGCCTTACAAACATTCACCTTCCTCTCTAGTGTATGCATTACTCTGCTAGTCCTTTGTGTTATTCGTGTGAAGGTTTAAAACTCGCATTCCTCTATGACTTAGTCGGTAAACGAACTCTTGCTATCCTTTCATCTTTCTTCTCTGGGTCCCGGTACAGTTGGGTGAGGTTCCACGTTCCGTCTCCTGTCTCAGCTCTCGCCTGGGCTCTAGGTCCGTTAGGCCATAGCGATCCGAATTCAGTTAGCTACTGTGCGCGTTGGGTATTCTCAGTGAAAAGCGTTTCGTCCGCTCCTAGTAAGAGAATCGGAACAAATAGAACGTCTATAGGTTTTGCTACTACCGGACTGAAACCAAGTAGCATCTAGTCAGTCGGATGCGAACCCGCCCAAATTCACCTACGGTAGTCGAAAGAATACATAAAATGTTCTGCGTCTTCCAAGACCACATGTAGATCCCACTTGTGCTATGCAATCACACTCCTGAGCTTAGCCGGCTACGCACCACCTTCCCAGTTAGGCTGTTGTGTCCTAATCTTTGGATAGTGTCTGAAGCAAACCTCTATTTATCCCACATGCCAGTGGATGGGATCGCGAAGTCGAGCTAAACTCTTTTAACTCATTAACTAGTATCAAGTCTTTACGCTGCCTCTGACCATATAAGAGATTTCACGAAACACTATGAGCTGGGCGTTTCAGAGGACATGGTGTCAAATCTGTTAGTCTCAATTAAAGCCGTATAGGGTCTTTATGTGTTGCTCTGTGACAGCAGCTGTACATTCGTTGTAAAGTGCGGATTCTGGTTAGTAAACTAGTGATTTCCAATGGATGTAAGTAAAGGTTGCGCTCGTAATCCCTAATTTTCTTAGACGATGAATTCTCTCATTTGATGCGATGCGCTTTTACGGAGCGCAAATAAGCGTGCAATAAGTTGCTGAACAAATAAACTTATAGCGAAAAAAGCTGGTCCAAGAAATGCTGCCAAGGACGTATATG